ACACACACACACACACACACACACACACACACACACACACACAACAGACCATAATGTAATCCCTTTACAGCCTACTTTCAATGCTTACTCAGACTCTGATATATTACATTCCAGTGCATCACCCACTCAGCGAGCTGACCTAAACATTCTTGTAACTCACCAGCACCAGAAAGAGCATACGGTTTAGTTTAAGTTCACGGTGTGCACATTTTAAAGTTAAATACTGTCTTGGTAAAGTATTTAGGTTCATSTAAGAGGTGAACAGAGTCAAGATGCTGTATATAAATTCAGAAGTGCAGAGGGAGAGTTTTACTCAGAATGTGAAAAGTTTTACTGTATTTTAATAGAAAAACAGCACTGAAACATTTGATCTACAGTACTCCCCCAGAATTCTTTCATTAACAAGATGTTGACGTGTTCACACTATCACATGTCTAATTAAAGTGCATGCACAAGTTGGCTCGCAGAGTGTTATTGCATATGATATTACAGTTTTTATCATTTCACACCTTGTCAGACTTTCAGATCCCATCTAAAACCTGTCAGACACCACRAGCAAAAAGGTGGTTATGGTCGCCAGCAGGGCCTGGCCCGCAGCTGCTGGATATAAAAACCTGGGAGACTCACTCTATCAAAACACTGAAACCCTGTAGAGAGGCTGAGATGGATGCAAAGTTTTATTCTCTTTCCTTTCCCCCTTCTAAACTCAGCTTCTCTTTCACGGTTCCCATCGCTCTCTCCTCACACCTACTCTTTCACTCCTCCTTTACCAGCGTGCTTGAACGCCACAGTTACTCCCCCACTTCTCTGCTTTGATCTATCTTTGCAGAGTCAGGTTGCAGTCTGGGTCGTATGCAGAGGGGAGATACAGATGAGTGTCCCGGTGTTAGTGTGTGAACAGGGTGGTCTGTGAAGAGCAGATCAGAGGCAGAGGTGAGCGGAAAGTGGGACGACTGCAACCAGGTGGAGGAGACCGAAACGAGTCGAGGGAACGGGAGAAAGAATTAAGCGTGAAGAGAGGAGAGGAAGAGGCTTCCCCACACCCCTTCACTGCAGCTCAGACACACACAAATTCCTGTACGCACTATGATCTCTAAACTACTTATTTTCAATGTCGCTTGCCAAAGTCAAATCCTCAGCCTTCACATCCTCCTCCCTGCATTAACTATCGCTCAATCCCCTAATTCTTCTCGTCTCCTTGCTTTCGCCTGTTTATCTCCCTTCCCTGTTTATCTCATCCCTTCCTCTGTCTCTGTCCCCCCTCCGTACACATAAATACTAACTTTTTTCCCCCCTTTTCTTTGCCTCACTTATTCTATTTCTCTCTTAGCTGGGTCCTTGAAGACCTCGCTAAGCCGGGAGGAAGGAAAAGTACTTTTCTGCCTCATCAGCTTGCTAAGCTCGGTGTGGAGAAAGAACACCTACAGGCTCTTCGACTACTGATGCTAACAGCTAACGCTAATGCACTCTTGCAARGCATGAAGGCCAGTGGGCTCAGGCTAAAGGCTAATGATAATCATACTTTACAGCATGACAGCCAATAGGTGGCAAACAGTGATGCCAAGAGCTGTTTAGCCCCAGTATAAAACTGATGGCCTGGTTCATGTGAAAGCTACTGGCTAGATTACAGGTACTGATGTAGCTGTAAGATACCTGGTTGTACACAAGTTCAACATACAGCCACATATGTCAGTGTTTAGACTCATGTATTATRTCACCATTCACTGAACCAAGAGAAACAGAATTTTTTAGAAACTAAAATAATTTATATGTGGAAAAAGAAAAAAAATAGAATCAAACTTAACTCTGGTTTTACAAACCAAATCCTGTATTGTTTTGAAATAACCCCTGCTCCTAATAAAATAATTAGTCAATATGAAAAATAGGCTTATTGCTTCCTTTTGAAGAGATTTGTGTGTTAAATTTAAAAACCAGAGCCAGCTATATTTAGAATAAAGCCTGAAAGCTGGGGAGATGACTGAGGGAATTAAACAGGACAAATTTAAAGACTGTTTAGGCTACGCCTATTATTATTATTTTTTCAAAAAAAAAACTTTTT